CCTCTGGTCAGATCGCAGGTGACCTCCAGTGGGATCTCGACATTATTAGATTTCCATAGGATGCCTCTTCAGGCCCTTCCTTTAGTTCTTTGACATGAAAGGTTGAGTTTCTGGTAGCCATTACTTTAGTCTTTGTAGGGTTTCAGAACTGGCTGTCCTTTCCTTTAAGGAAATGGAAAAGGAAACAAAAAAATCCTGCAGGACGTCTATGGCAGAATCAAACGTACAACTATAGAAAGGTAAGTGTCAGGAATGGACTGGCCAGCAATGGTGGGACTCACCTGCCTTTTGATCTGCAGTACCAGGGCTGGCCAGCGGGTGCTCCCAGCAATCAGAGACTCAACCTTTCAGCCAGCTAACACCTGGAACTGATGATACTGTTGTATTTAAGGGATGGCCAGACTTGCAGACTCTGCCTTGGTGTTGTGTTTGTCCTGGGGCCCTGTATCTGTCCTGCATCCTGTTTCTGTTCCTTTGCTACCTGTTCTGATCCCTGGCTTGTGACCCCTGACCATCCCTCTGCCTGACCCTCTGTACTACGCTGCTTGCTACCTGTTCTGATCCCTGGCTTGTGACCCTGACCATCCCTCTGCCTGACCCTCTGTACTACGCTGCTTGCTACCTGCTGAACCTGGCCTGTGACCCCGACCATTCTCCGCTTGCTCCCCCTGTACCTACCTGCCCAATTGATATTGACCGGCCTGCCTGACGACGCTTGCTTGTATGTACTGTTATCTGTGGGTGGTTGGTTGGGTTTGTTTGCACTGTATTATGTTTAGTATTGCACTGCGTTTATGTTTGTATGGTTAGTGTTAATAAATTGTATGTTTATCACATATCTGAAGTCTGCGTTTCCCTGCATCAGTCACACACCTCTGGTCATACCTGGAGCCCTGACATTACACCAAGGCCAATCCTGACCAGAAGTGGCTGCACAGGGAAGCCATCTTGGTTTGTTGATGGGAAGGATGGATCTGGATGAGGTTGAGTATTTATATCTGCTAGTGTTTGATGACAGGGAGTATGCTTATCAAACTCTGAAGGAGTATCCCCGGGATCAACTACTAGAATGTATACGGCTCGCTCATGTTCTAGTAGATCAGGGCACAGAGTTCTCTGAGGTGCAGCCATTGATTGAGGTTTGTGCTGAGTTGGTTTCATCTGGTTCCCCCGAATGCAGGGATGAATTTTTGCCACCATTTAGTGCAGACCAGGTAGAGTCCCTGGTGTGGTTATTAGAGGATGATGTGGGTTACTTTCTGGAGCGTTATTCCACATGTTCACCACAGACACTTAGAGAGTGTATAAACGCAGTGCAGTCTTTGGTCAGACAGGCTTTGTGTAAGCTCAGCTTTGTTCAACCCATACTGCAGACATGGACAGATTTGTTGCACCCAGCCTCAGTCCGCTTACAAAGACCCAGTCCTGCTTCTAATCTATTTCCTCAAAGCTCTATTCCTGCATTCCCAACAGCTCCTCCTGCCCTGCTATCTACCGCATGTCAGTACCCTGTTCCCACTCGCTGCACCTATCCTGCCTTTAACCCTGTAAAGAAGCCCTCTGTAGCGACTGTTCCTTCTCTCTGTTCCATCCTCCAGCTCTTCTCTGTCTCCAGCTGCTCCATTCGTTTGCAGACCTGCGTTTACTTGCAGTGCTCCAGTAGTTAAAACCAGAAAAAAGCGAAAATTCTTTCCAACCAATACCATCCTGCCAGTATCCAAACCGGTGAGCCTGCCTTCCGTGGTTCAGCCTGAAGCCTCTACTCGGCCTGAAGCCTCTACTCGGCCTGATGCCTGTACTCGGCCTGATGCCTGTACTCGGCCTGATGCCTGTACGCAGCCTGATGCCGGTACGCAACCTGATGCCTCTCTCGGCCTGATGCCTCTCTTCGGCCTGATGCCTCTACTCGGCCTGATGCCTCTCTTCGGCCTGATGCCTCTACTCGGCCTGATGCCTCTACTCGGCCTGAAGCCTCTACTCGGCCTGAAGCCTCTACTCGGCCTGATGCCTCGGCCTACTCGGCCTGAAGCCTCTACTCGGCCTGATGCCTCTACTCGGCCTGATGCCTCTACTCGGCCTGAAGCCTCTACTCGGCCTGAAGCCTCTACTCGGCCTGAAGCCTCTACTCGGCCTGAAGCCTCTACTCAGCCGGACGCCGGCATTCAGCCTGATGCCTCTACCCAGCATGATGAACTGATCCAGCCTGACGATCCTATTAGGCCAGTTGACTCGATGCCCGCTGTTGATCCAGATGATCCGGTACCTGATCCGGTGCTCGCTGTCAAGCCAAATGACTTGATGCCTGGTGACCCGATGCCCGCTGTCCAGTCAGACGATCCAATGTCTGACCCAGTGCCCGCGGTCATACCAGTTGACTCGGAGCCCACTGCCTTGCCAGATGACGCGGTGCCCGCGGTCGAGCCAAATGACCTGATGCCTGGTGACCCGATGCCCGCTGTCCAGCCAGACGATCCAATGTCTGACCTAGTGCCAGCGGTCATGCCAGTTGACTCGGAGCCCACTGTCGTGCCTGGTGACTCGGTGCCCGCTGCTCCGCCTGGGGGCCCGAGACCTGTCGCTCCGCCTGGGGGTCCAGCGCCCGCCGCTCCACCTGGGGGTCCGGCGCCCGCCGCCCCGCCTGGGGCCCGAGACCTGACGCTCCGCCTGAGGGCCCGAGACCTGTCGCACCGCCTGGGGGTCCGGCGCCCCGCCGCTCCGCCTGAGGGCCCGGGACCTGTCGCTCCACCTGGGGGTTCGGCGCCCGCCGCTCCGCCTGAGGGCCCGAGACCTGTCGCTCCACCTGGGGGTCCGGCGCCCGCCGCTCCGCCTGAGGGCCCGAGACCTGTCGCTCCACCTGGGGGTCCGGCGCCCGCCGCCGCCTGAGGGCCCGAGACCTGTCGCTCCGCCTGGGGGTCCGGCGCCCGCCGCCCCGCCTGAGGCCCGAGACCTGTCGCTCCGCCTGGGGGCCCGAGACCTGTCGCTCCACCTGGGGGTCCGGCGCCCGCCGCTCCGCCTGAGGGCCCGAGACCTGTCGCTCCACCCGGGGGTCCGGCGCCCGCCGCTCCGCCTGAGGGCCCGAGACCTGTAGTTCCGCCTGGGGGTCCGGCGCCCGCCGCTCCGCCTGGGGGCCCGATGCCTGTCGCCCCGCCTGGGGGCCCGATGCCTGTCGCCCCGCCTGGGGGCCCGATGCCTGTCGCCCCGCCTGGGGGCCCGATGCCTGTCGCTCCACCTGGGGGTCCGGCGCCCACCGCTCCGCCTGAGGGCACGAGACCTGTCGCTCCACCCGGGGGTCCGGCGCCCGCTGCTCCGCCTGAGGGCCCGAGGCCTGTAGTTCCGCCTGGGGGTCCGGCACCCGCCGCCCCGCCTGGGGGCCCGATGCCTGTCGCCCCGCCCGGGGGTCCGATGCCTCTTGCCCCGCCTGGGGGTCCGATGCCTGTCGCCGCCCCGCCTGGGGGCCCGAGGCCTGTCGCTCCATCTGGGGGTCCGGCACCCGCCGCCCCGCCTGAGGGCCCAAGACCTGTAGTTCCGCCTGGGGGCCCGATGCCTGTCGCCCCCCCCCGGGGGCCCGAGGCCTGTCGCCCCCGCCCGGGGCCCGAGGCCTGACGCTCCGCCTGAGGGCCCGAGACCTGTCGCACCGCCTGGGGGTCCGGCGCCCGCCGCTCCGCCTGAGGGCCCGAGACCTGTCGCTCCACCTGGGGGTTCGGCGGCCGCCGCTCCGCCTGAGGGCCCGAGACCTGTCGCTCCACCTGGGGGGGGTCCGGCGCCCGCCGCTCCGCCTGAGGGCCCGAGACCTGTCGCTCCGCCTGGGGGTCCGGCGCCCGCCGCTCCGCCTGAGGGCCCGAGACCTGTCGCTCCGCCTGGGGGCCCGAGACCTGATGTGTGCCTCTGCCCGGTGTCCAGCCCGATGTGCCTCTGCCCGGAGTCCAGCCCGATGTGCCTCTGCCCGGAGTCCAGCCCGATGTGCCTCTGCCCGGAGTCCAGCCCGATGTGCCTCTGCCCGGAGTCCAGCCCGATGTGCCTCTGCCCGGAGTCCAGCCCGATGTGCCTCTGCCCGGAGTCCAGCCCGATGTGCCTCTGCCCGGAGTCCAGCCCGATGTGCCTCTGCCCGGAGTCCAGCCCGATGTGCCTCTGCCCGGTGTGGCTCTGCCCGGTGTGCCTCTGCCCGGAGTCCAGCCCGATGTGCCTCTGCCCGGTGTACCGCTGCCCGGAGTCCTGCCCGGTGTGCCAGTCTTTGATATCCCGCCAGTTACCAGACCCGGGCGGTGGAACATTTTTCCCAGCTAGGACTGTTTGGAGCGTCCTGAGGCCGCTCCTTGAGGGGGGGGGTACTGTCAGGAATGGACTGGCCAGCAATGGTGGGACTCACCTGCCTTTTGATCTGCAGTACCAGGGCTGGCCAGCGGGTGCTCCCAGCAATCAGAGACTCAACCTTTCAGCCAGCTAACACCTGGAACTGATGATACTGTTGTATTTAAGGGATGGCCAGACTTGCAGACTCTGCCTTGGTGTTGTGTTTGTCCTGGGCCTGTATCTGTCCTGCATCCTGTTTCTGTTCCTTTGCTACCTGTTTCTGATCCCTGGCTTGTGACCCTGACCATCCCTCTGCCTGACCCTCTGTACTACGCTGCTTGCTACCTGTTCTGATCCCTGGCTTGTGACCCTGACCATCCCTCTGCCTGACCCTCTGTACTACGCTGCTTGCTACCTGCTGAACCTGGCCTGTGACCCCGACCATTCTCCGCTTGCTCCCCCTGTACCTACCTGCCCAATTGATATTGACTCGGCCTGCCTGACGACGCTTGCTTGTATGTACTGTTATCTGTGGGTGGTTGGTTGGGTTTGTTTGCACTGTATTATGTTTAGTATTGCACTGCGTTTATGTTTGTATGGTTAGTGTTAATAAATTGTATTGTTTATCACATATCTGAAGTCTGCGTTTCCCTGCATCAGTCACACACCTCTGGTCATACCTGGGAGCCCTGACAGTAAGTATCAATCTTTATCACAAAACATGATACAAGACCAATTAGGTCAATAAAACAGTGCTTGAGTAAGTCAACCCGTAACAAGGCATACGATTATACAATATGTCAATACAGACACACAAACATTCTGCGGTACACCAAAAGAGAAACTGCCAGCAAAATCAAGCTTGGTCAGTGCCGGTGATTAGCAGACGAAATCCCGAAGCATTTTGGAACCAGTGTTTCCTTCTTCAGGGAGGAATAGAGATATGCTAAGTCTATAATACAATCATCAAAGGATGACAACTCTTCTCCATAAACACAGTATATGATTGAGTACTGTCCTCCTAGGGCAGGAAATGTGTTAATGACAGGATCACCAGATGCTTATTCTAGGCTTCTGTGTGATGTTTAGTAGAGATGAGCAAATTGAAGATTTTCTTTTGCCTGAAATTTCAAAAAATATCGGTAGGTCTTGACATTTTTGACAAAATACAACAGGGAAAGCCAACAGGAAAAGGTAAATTGATGTTTACATGTGGACAGCCGTGCTGCCTGTCAGCCTGTCATTGTCTTGTACAGGCTGCTGGCCATGGCTGATAGCAAAAACCTGTTGCAAAGAACGATGGTTCTAGGTAGTGTGTGGTCCAAAATGGCTCTATTTCCTGTATAGAAGAAAAACTAATAAGGTATCCAAACTCAATATCTTGCCCACAAAGCCCAACAGATCAGCCATTTTCAACCAGGGTTTTATGGAACCCTAGGATTCCTCCAGAGGTTGCTGGGGGTTCCCTGAGTTGTGGTTGATTGACATCCCATTGGATGGTGTCTGCATGAATCCAGGACCAACACTTGGAAAAATCAGTGGCATGACTCCAGTGATAGTTTTACCTGTCTGTATAGGGGTGTAGCACTACTCCCATAGGAGTTGCAAGAATACTGTCCAGGTCCTCCCCAGTCACTCTGCTTCACAGCCAGGCACATAGCAAACAGTAGACTTCAGCTTTAAGGCAGTAGTGGTAAAAGAAGTAGCAAGCTTGAGCAGAGTCCTATGTAGCAAGAGGTTAAATGGACAAAGCTCTTCGGAACACCAGCCGGTGTCCCCTTTAGCCCAGACCCACAGATGACTTCCTAGCACCAGAGAGAATTAAGTAGCACACAGTCTCTAGGATCCTTTAGGGGTGTCTGTACTCACAAGGTCCAAGAGTGGATGGAGGCCTTCCTCTGTGATACCAGACCAGATCTCCAATAGACGGCCATTAGTCAGCATCAGTAGAACCTGGGTCTCAGCATTCAGGCCCTCAGTTCTGCCAAAAGAGGCCACATGTCAGTAAATGCCTGGCAGGGCAACATGCCTTCTCCCAGGCTGGAACAGTTCGATACAGGAAACAGCCAGAGCTCAGTGTGCTCACAAAATATATACAGTTACCCAGCATACCATAAGAGCCAATTTCCTTGGATTCTGACCATCATGTTAAGGGGGGCATTTTTTCCCACTGACACCCAATAAATTGATTATTAGCATCTGAACATAATTTCAAGGGTTCCTCTGGAGAAAAAAAAGTTGAGAAAGTTTTCAACAGATTGCCACAATTTAGAAGAAATCTAAAATATCATCACCATAAGCTGATGTGAAATTCACAGCACCTGACAGAAAGCAAGGAAGGCAGGGAGGACATCAGAATCGTGAAGTCTAGTGATCTTTGGGCAAAGTTTCTAGGATTTCTTTTTTCTGAAAATTTACATAGAAATAAAAAAATTGCAGAAGTGTCTGCTGTAAAAAGATGAAAGCAAATGAGTAGATTGTTTTAGGATCGGCATCCAATCACATTCTTAAAATGTATGCAAACCCAAACTCTTTTTCTGTATGTTCCTGTTTTAGCCTGACAACACTAAAGTCTGGTACACACTATACATTTTTCTTGTTCAACCCAGCGGGCTGAATGAAAAAAAAAACCTGTGGCTGTACTAACACAAGAGATGTTAGCACAGCGATCTCCCCCGCTGTGCTGCTATTATTTTGTAACCGGGGGACACACTGATCAGCGCTCACTGCCATTGGCTGATGCCGATCAGATGCTGGTTTTCCAGGATGTCTATTTGACAGAAGTTGATCGCAAGACTGGCTACTGTCGGACATGGAGTTATACACACTGGCCAAAAGTTGTCCGAATCCTTACAAACCAAACGTTTTCAGCCAATTTTCAGCTCGTGTGTACCCAGCAGAAGCCCCTTCTTGGCAATTTGCAGCAGGTTTGTTAGCCTGCCGTACATACTCCTTCAGTTGATCGATGGGCTGTCTATCAGGTCTTTGTATGTCAACTGCAAATCTGATAGGCAATCCAATTGCCAACTGATGGAGAGTGGATGGCAGGCTAATAGCATTGCTGCAAATTGCAAGGCAGCGACTTAGTTATTGGCCTTCTATTACTGTCAGGGTTTCTAGGTATGGAACGTTGCAACAGAATCACAAAACATATTTTGGTTATGTAATAAATGTTTATATAGTGAGGCACGATGCCAAACATACTGAAAAAAAAATTGGGGTTTCAATACACTTTAACCGAAAGCTACAAAATGTGTATCCCGCTCAAGTGGTACCCTTGGCCATCCAGGTACTTCATTACATCCTTCAACATCCCCTTTGATCCAGATGGTCTGTTCCCTCTTCCCCATACACAAAAATGTGCATCTCACTCAAGTGGTACCCTTGGCCATCCAGGTACTTCATTACATCCCTCAACATCCCCTTTTATCTAGATGGTCTGTTCCCTCTTCCCCATACACAAAAATGTGTATGCCACTCAAGTGGTACCCTTGGCCATCCAGGTACTTCATTACATCCCTCAACATCCCCTTTTATCTAGATGGTCTGTTCCCTCTTCCCCATACACAAAAATGTGTATGCCACTCAAGTGGTACCCTTGGCCATCCAGGTACTTCATTACATCCATCAACAT